ACTTATAGCATTTTTGGTCGTAATTTGGTCATTTTATTGGTCATTTGGTCATCAGAAAAAATGATATAAAATGTAGTAATGACCATATTATATACACACACACACATATATATATATATATATATATATATATATTTATATTTTGAAATATGTGAGTTTGGTGTTGATATATATTTTGATGAGTTATTTAGTATCGAGCAGTAACACTAAGTGAGAAAACTAAAGTAGTTTTGAAATACTTTATTTATCCATACGTTTCAGTCTTCATCGAGACAGTCATTCAGTGGAAAAACTAAAAAAAATTATATGATGTAGGAGGAAAATAATATAAAGTTATAGAACTTATATATATAAATACTTACAGAAATTAATTATACAAAAATACACTACACTATTACACGGTGATAAACCAAGCTATTAATAACTAGAACATATTATGGAATTCTAGTGTGTACAGATTGACTAACGTCTAAACACTGAATGAATTGTGTTTACAAATTTTGCGAAAGTTTAAAAAGACTGGCAAACATATGTTTTAGTAAAAATAAAAAATATAAAAAATACACGCTTCATTCAGATATGGTGGTGTTTGAAAATGGTCAAGGATTATGTTATAGTCATTGCAAAGCGAATTGTTGTCCACTCTTTTATTTATGGCCGTCTCATTGTATATAGATATTAGGCATCCTTCGCTAAATCTTCTTTTAAATAAATTATTTTCGAAATGTAGGATCGTGGGATTGGAAAAATCAATGTTATGTTTGAGCTGATTAATGTTAGTTGTGTTTTATTCTGGTTCTTATTTGGAGTTATTTTTGTGTTGTGATGTTCTTTTGTGCAAGTTTGACTGGTTTCACCTATGTAGACGCAAATTGCTTTTATATATTTTAATTACAATATGTTACACTTAGGACATTCATTGATTATTTGGCTTTTATTATATGAATATATATATATAAAACTCATGATTCGTTTCCAGAAATTTTTAATTAGTTTATCATATAATGTTCAAAACAACACGAAAAAATATTATTTATGTCTACAAAGTAACTATATCTGTGACTTTTATTATTTGCAATTTGTCTAAAAATTTTGGTTTAATAATACTATGAAATTTACAATGTTTTCATGAATTCTGTATTTTTCATATTAACAATTATTTTGTAATATATATAACGGATAATGTTTTTTATATAGATTTTTTTTTGAATATTTAAATGTTTTAAATAGCACAAAAAACCCAAAATTTCCAATTTTGCATTTGCCATTTATCCACAAAAATAACTTTAATAATTTGGTTAAATTTAGAAAAAAGAATCCAAATTCTCAAATATCTGACTTTTTTAAAGTTTTGAAAAAAATTTAAAGATTTTTAAACAAATACGGAAAGTTTCAGCAATTTGCCTCAGGGCACGATGCCATGCTACCACTAGTTTATAATATAATGTATAATTTTCTTAACTATAATTATCATTTTCGTCCAGAGGCCCTCGCACTAGGGTCCGTCTCAGTCCACTTAGCATTCAAGTAAGATCTTCAGGAATGCATGCGAACTCGTATGCATTTCGCCTACGTAGAATGCAAGTGTTGTTTCTAGATGCTAATTCAGCACATTACCATTCAGTATGTGCAGGTATTACTAATTCTTGTTATTTGCACAACTTGGCGCTTTCGAACATAAAGGACACTTATTGAAAAAAGCCGCTACTCATTATGAAACCGGAGCTACTCATTATGAAACCCGGAGCTATTAAAATCGAGCGAGGAATATCAGGAAATGGTAAATGATACACTGCAACAGTACAATGTTAGATGTTGATATAATCCTTCAAATATACCTTGATACTTAGACATGTCGATTGTTCGTTGTGCAATGATAAAGGCCCTGGTTTGCACCAATTTTCCTGATAACAAAATTGTTTTTCAAGTGAAATAGTTTTTCCCCACGATGCTTCAATAATTTGTAATATATAATATATAGGCGACATGCTGCGTTTTTTGGGCTTTGTTTATTGTTATTTTGATTAATTTTGTAATTATTATTCTGAAAATCATAATTAGGATTATGTATTTTATGTAATTAGTGACTTCGATAAATTTTTATTGTAGAATTATTAGATTAGTGACTTCGATAAATTATTAGAAATTAGATGTTTCATGAAATTTTGATGTTATCATTTTTGTTCACTTTCAGACAAAATGATACACTTATGCAAATGTCAAAATGACACAGTATTAAAATATACTACAGCCCGGCGAAATGGTTACTTTCTACTAAAAAATTAGTATCGCAGTAAATTTTTATTTTACGTCATTTTGTTCGTACTTTATTAACAAAATGGTTTTTGCAATTAGTAGCATTTTTCTTAATATTGTTACTGGTAATCGAATAAAACCGAATGGTTATAATATAAAATAAATAAATATCATTCAAAAACACTATGTCATTCTGTCACTAACTGTTATAAAAATGACTACCACTTGCTTTCTAATATCAAAATAGTATATCAAGCTTGATCAGCCATTGGCCCTCTTTTGACAAAGTTGAGAAGTATCATAACAACTGACTATAAAAGTCTTAGTTCAGATTGATCTCCAAAAATTAAAAAACGCCAGGCATAAGTGGCAATAAAACTTTAGATTTAGTATTTTAACTTTCCGTGGTGTAAGTTATTGTAATCGTCCAAAAAATGGATGTGTGGTGTGTATGTGTGTGTGTGTATGTATGTATGGATACAATTTTTTGTCCACGTTTTCAACCACGGATCAACCGATTTAAATGGTTTAAAAAACATGTGATTTCTATTGATAGGGAGATGTGCTGATTAGTTTTTGGCAAAGGCAGGTCCAGCCGTTCCCGAGATACTGAGCAAAGGATGCATAAAATAGAAATTGAGTTTTTGAGAGATCGGAGCATCGAATTTGAATGATCCAAAAAACATTCAATTCGTAATGATGGCGCGAAATGGTGATAGTTTTTGGTTAAAAGCAGGTCAGCTGTTGCGGAGATACAGAGCTAAATGTGCAAAAAATTGCAGGTTTTGAGAGAACTAAGCGTCCGATTTGAATGATTCAAAGAACTTTCTGCTTGTTTTAACAAAATAATGTTTCAATTTTTTTTTCATATTTTTTTTCAAAAAAAAAATTTCAACCGTTTATGTTGAAAATAAAGTTCCAGTAATAACTAAACATATTATAACTGCAAATGAATTGACTGTCATACTCAAAACTGTCTTTTATTATATTCATGATTAGGCTACTTTTTATAGAACAATAATGTTTTACGTTCTGCTAAGTTTTATTAAATATGCCAATTTTTCACTTTCATTCACGAAAAAAAAAATCTTTTCCCAAAACTAATTAGTACGATCACCTGTACTGATATTTTCCAAATTTGTCGACCCAGAAAACGTCGACTAAAGGTCAGTTTTTGGTTAACAAACAGTCACGCATGCCTTTTAAACATAAACGTTTCCTTCAAGAAGTTAAAAAAAAATACCTACTTTTAAAAAACTCGACCTTTCCATCGTTAAACTTCATATTAAAATGCACGGAATGTCAATGCAAATTCTTCATCTGTTTAGAATTTTACACGAACGCGAGAAAAAATGACACATTGTTCATAAAAAAAGCCTTCGCACCTCATCTTAATTCGGACCTTGTCACTGACTATAAAGACCATATATCACCAACGATTTGAAGTTGGCGGCACATTTGTCACCATTGTCAACGCCATTGTTTCTATATCCGTTTCCGTTCAAGGTCGTAACGGAAATCGTCGCTTGCATTCGTTAATTGCACTTCCTTCGAGAAATAAGAAACAACGGTTTCTTATTTTATTATGAGTTACATGTATTTTATGGCGATTTCGTAATTTTAAACTATCTGATACATGTGGGTAACGTATGAGTATAGTACCATCGTTCATTGTTCTTTTGTTTGTTGCGAAATATTATCCGCCATCTGGTAACACGATTAGAATTTGAATTTAAATTTGAATTTGAATGGATCGCTGAATGAAATTTTAATTGTTAGGTAATAACGATGTGCACTATTGTTGTTTTTATTTGATTTATAAGATGCGATATTATGATAAAAGCAAACATGAAAGGAGCATTTTAATTCATTTAGGGGCCAAATAAATGTTTTGTTACAGGACTATAATTGTATGAGTTTGTAGCCATCATTTGTTACACATAAAACCTAACCTCCAAAACGCACAAATGTCAAATAACCAACTTTATCATAAGTGGTAAGAAGTCTAACCAAAGTGATTCATTATTTATTTATTAACTTCCCGCAGGGTAGTTATAGTAATGGGCGAAAATCGAAAATGAAATTTTTGAATTTCTCCACGCTTTGAAGGTTTCTGAACATTTTGGCATACCTCAAAAAATGGATGTGTATGTGTGTATTTTGCGTGTCCGCATTTTTAATTTTTTTATTTTATTACAATTAAATATCCTAGCCACATAATAGTTCCAAGAGGATTTGAATTACAATTATAATATAAGGCGGGTCGATTTAAAAGTCACTTAGGCACATATGATTTTTTTGATACTAGAGATTAATAAAATACTTTGCCAAGAAACGATCCTTAAAATGAATTCTGGTCCCAGGGGTTGAATTTTGAAAAATTCCGTTCGGATCAATTTAGAGAGCCCCAAACGCTTTCAAATGTATGACCGACTCTCACTAACTTTGGAAGGTCGATCCACCTATGCCTATGGTTTACCCCTGGGACCTCCTCCGAGGGCTGCAGAATAGAGTCATAATACAACATAATAAAATAAAATACTGAAATACTAAAACTTAAAATATTTAAAAAAGCAATATAAAAATTAAGTTGAGGAATGTAATAGCGGTACTTAGTCGCCGCGATGTTTATTTTTCAAAATTTCTAGAAAAATTTTACTATTAAATTATTGCTAGTTATTCTAAGCATTATTCATTATTTACATATTTCTTAATTGATATTAACTTATTTTTGTTTATTTCAGTGGCTCGGGGTGTGTATATGGCTCCTAGGAGCTTTATTATCACTGTCGGCTGTATCAGGTGAGTTTCCTGCATTTAACATATTAACATATATCTATCTAAATATTTAAATCACCTCTTTATAGATCATTAAAATATTTACATAGAAATTACTTATAAATAAATGTATATTTTAGTATTATTAATTGAAATTTAATGAATGATATAATTTTTGATAATTTGACATTTGACTCATTATAATTATTTATAATGAATTAAAATAAGGTGAATGACTCAGATTTCCAATTGAAATTATAATGCGACATTTCTTTGCTAATTTCATAAATTTACATGCTAATTTAGAAAAAAATTCTTAAACTAGTTTTTGAAGTAATAGTTGTGGATATTTGAAAAATAATTTTATTTTCTAAATTCTCAATAGACTATTGATTCCTTTGATATTTGACTTTCAGAAAATTTCAATAATTTTAATTAATTATGAATAAGTTAAAAATAAACATATTAATATTGTACTTATATTAACTTATTCATAATTAATTAAAATTATTGGATTTTTCTGAAAGTCAAATATCAAAGCAATTTAAATATCTATTAAAAGGAATTTTTATTTTTATCATACTTTTTATTGTGCTATAACTGGAAATCATAAGTTTGAATAAAGTTGTACTAGTTTATATATGTTATACATTTATTATTTTATACAAATAGTTATACAAATTTATTTTCAATAAAACAAAATATTATGAATGGTACAATGAATAATGATATCAATTCATGAGAATTGTATTCGCTCTTAAATATTAGTAATAAAGCTCAAGTTTAATTTTAAAATGATTTGAGTGTACAATTTCGATTAAACTCAACTATTACATATACTATATATCAAAACTCTTACATATAGTATCGAAAATCCTTAAAAACATAAAAATAATATTGTTATTTATCTTATACCGTAAGACATGAATAGGGGAAGTACGGACAAAATGACTTGGTGTTTTATTTTTTAATGATATTCATTACTTAGTGATATTATTAACAATAGCAATCTTTTTACTTATCTTAGTTTCACTACTTATCTTACTTTTTGTGACATAGTCCTTTATTTAGGAACTTTAAGAACATTTATTAAGAACAAGTGCAAAAGAGACAGTTGTGCAACAGAAACAGTTCATATAGTATAGACATAATGACATATAAGGTAAGGACATACAGATAATAATTTTTAATAAGACATTTCGTAAATAAATCGTTTGGTACTTTTTGGGACATCATCAAATATAACATGAGTCCGAGGGAACAAAATATCAAATTCGACGGGCTTAGAATCGGAAAAGAGTATTTTCCAACAAATGCTCTTCTTTTTTCCCATAAATACTTTGGTCTGGTTTAACAAATAGTTCGAGCAGAAGCTAAAAACCAGTCACCTTTAGTGTAGTGCTTACGAAACAGTACCATGCCATTTTGTCTCTTTATAAATATGTCATTTGTCCGAAAGTGTACATAATAAACAAAACTAAAACAGCTGTAGTATGAAACTTGTAATAAAATTTATCTAATTCACTAGTAAATATGTAATAATAAATTATTTGATTTTAATAAAAGTAATAACAAATAACAATAAGTAAGTTCCAGAAATTATGAAAACAACTATCCCAAAATAAATTTTTGAAAGCGTGTTGCAGAAATGTACTAAACTATCCAATTTCAAATACGGGAAGTATGTCATTTTGTCCTTTTCACCACTATTCGGGTTTCTGCCCTAGACTACTTCGGGTAGTCTGCCCGAAGGCAGGTTAATGTGTGAGAGGACCCCCAACAAATAAATGATCCCTCATCCTTCGTCGTCTATCATTTCCATTTCCACTATTTTTATTCCACATTTTTCCAAACTACGGCTTCCATCCATCCTGCGCTTCGGTTTTCAATTCCCTGTATTTTCTCTTTTCACGTAAGTCGTCAATCATCGGCATGCGTAATGCAGTGGGCACCCTTTTTGCAGAACTGGTCCGATC